ATCTCCTGGGAAGATTCACTCTCCTCTTTCTCCGGCTTTGTGTCTTGGATCATCCTCATCTCACCCCTGGATTTGGGACAGCAGCCGTCATCTGATCTGCTGATTGAGGTTCATCAAACCCCGAGAGTTGGGAGGATCCGCCAGCCCTACTCACGGACCCAGGACTCGCCAGACTGCCAGCCTCCACTACTACTACGTGAGACGAACCCTTGGGTGTCTGTGAATTCTGTGAGGCATTATAGCGAAATTCAGAACCCTAAGACTGGGGAAATTACTGGGAGGAGGAGGAGGAGTTAATGTCTGAAATGATGGAGTGGCGTGATAGTTTGGACATTTGGGACATCTTTGACCTTTGCCTCATGGGGACCGGCCTCGTGCTGATCTTTCTAAGAGAAATTGTTCAAGCAACCATCTAATATATTCTTTAGATGGCCTCTAGACATTCAAGTGGGATATATTCAAGGTCTTTTTTGGCTTTTGTGGACTTGTTTTAATTGTCTTCAGCTTCGGCTTGAACTTGTATATGAGGAGTTGATGGTCTGTTCCACAGTCAGCTCCTGCCCTTATTTTGGCTGAAGATATTGAGCTTCTCTATCTGACTGTAGTCAGTCTGATTCCTGTGTACTCTGTCTGGTGAAATTCATGTGTATAGCTGCCATTTATGTTGTTCAAGAAACGTATTGGCAGTGAATATGTTGTTGAGCTTGTAAAATTCTATCATGTGATCTCCAGTGTTATTTCTGTTACTAAGGCCATATTTTCTAACTACCAGTGATTCTTCTTTGTTTCCAGCTTTTTCATTCCAATCACCAGTGTTAATCAACACATCTTGATTGCATGTTCGATCAATTTCAGACTGCAGAAGTTGGTAAAAATCTTCAGTTTCCTCATCTTTGGCTTTTGTGGTTGGTGCATAAATTTGAATAATAGTAGTATTAACTGGTCTTTCTTGAAGGCATATGGATATTATTCTATCACTGACAGCATTGTACTTCAGGATAGATCTTGAAACATTCTTTGTGATGATGAATGCCACACCATTCCTCTTCAATTTGCCATTCCTGGCATAATAGATCATATGGTAGTCTGATTCAAAATGTCTAAACCAGTCCATTTCAACTCACTAATGCTTAGGATATCAATCTTTATGTGTTCTATTTCATTTCAGAACTTGATTTATAAAAAACCACCCATTGCTGTCTACTTGATAGTGAGTTTTAGTGACCCTATATAGGACAGGGTAAAAATGCCCTTTAGGGTTTCTAAGGCTTCTTTAAGGAAGCAGACTGTCCTATCTTTCTTCTGTGAAGTGGCTTGTGGGTTTGAACTGCCTACCTTTTGGTTAGCAGACAAGTGCTTCACTACTTCATCACCAGGGTGCCTTGGAATTTACTTTAAGAGAGTCAAATAACTAGTGCTCTACCTATTTTAATTTGTGAGTGTGTTGGACTGGGTTGTCTAGAGAAGCAAAACCAGTAAAGCTTATATATATAGCGAGAGAGAGAAAGAGAAATTAATCTTAGGAAAATGGCTCACACACTTACAGAAACTGGCAAGTCCCAAGTTCTTGGGTCAAATGTCAAGTTGGAGGCTTTTCCTGACTCATGCAGCTGCAGGAGCTGACGAACTCAAGGTTGGGAAATCCAAGAACTCCAGGCCGAAGGGTGGATTGTTCACTCATGGACAGCTGTAGGCAGCACAACAGAATCCCGATCCACAGAAGAGTGTCTCTTTTCCCAAGATGTCCATAAATATACTGGAAGCAGGCCACACCCCTAGGGAAACTCCCTTTCAACGAGTTAGCTGCTCAAAACATAGATGTCTGATCCCATCGTTGGAACGACCCACATCACAATTGCTTAAACCACACAAAATTGTGGTCCAGCCAAGTTAACACACAGCTCCAACTATCACAGTGAGGGAAAAAAGACTATTAAATTATTTCATCTGATTATAAATGCAAAATATGATCATTATGTAGAAAACACAGAAAAGTATAAAGATTAAAAAAAAAATTGGCTCATAATTTTACTAGCCAGAGATAACTACTGTAATATTGTGACATATGTGGATTTTATTTTGCACATAATTTTTATCCTCTTATCTATAAAATTAGCAATTTTATAATACAATTAAAATTTCTTTAGAAATTTAATGCTTAATGATTTGGAATAGCCTATTGATATGAGTCAGAGTCAATTCGATGACACACAATAACAGCATCCTATTACTGTACCCCCACACCTGTTGCCAATAAATCAATTCCAACTCATGATGACCCCATGTGTTACAGAGTAGAACTGCTCCGTGGGGTTTTCTTGGCTGTAATCTTTTGTTATATCATTATTTATTTAAATAGTATATTATAGTTTGATATTAAAATTACTTCCTACATTTTATTGTCATAAATCTCTTTTTCACTAAATCTCTAATCCTATGAACATGTATATTGATTGGATTCTTTGAAATAAAATATCTGGGTCAAAGCATTTGCATTTCTATAAGGGCAGGGCATGTTTCTGAGGAGGAGAGGGACTCATATCTCTGGACCAATGTGTCCAGAGTCAGCAGCTTCCACCCACTCTTTGAACTCAGCCTAAGCCCGCTTTTGCTGCTGTGAGGTCGATTTGTCGACAACTCTATTTACTCAAAGTTCTTGGGGTATGTCTTTTCTCCTTTATACATTTTCCAGGGTGATTTCCTGAAAGCTAGGTGGGCTGTGGACTGAGGGAGATAGGTGCCTGGCTACCACTGTCAACCACTCTGAGGGGGATCTATGTAGGAGATCCTTCCTGGATAGAGAGGGAGAACAATGTGGAACAAAACTAAAAACCATTTGAAAAAAAAAAAGGACCAGGTTTGCTGGTCTGATAGAGCCTGGTGGAACCACTAAGACTATGGCCCCTAGCTGCCCTTCAGGTCTGGAATAGAACCCACATCTATGGCTTCCAGCACAAACAAAAGACAGGCGTATGAGTTGAACATTTACCCGAGGCAGATACACTGCTTGGAGAGAACAATCATGGGAGAAAGAAGGGCTGCTTATGCACATGGAGACAGCTCAGGGGGCAGGAGTACATGGAGGGATGGACACAGGGAAGAGGTAACTATTAGGAGGAAGTGGGAGGGGAGCTGTTGCATTGTGGTAAATTGTAGTCAATGTTATGAGACAAAGTGTATGTGAACTGCTGTATGGAAAGTGAATTTGCTCTGTAAACTTTCACCCAAATCACACACACATAAATCTGATAATGTAGGTAATTATATGTAATGTTACTAATGTGCACAAAACCCAGACATTATTATCTATGTTCTAGACTAACGGACACAATATATATCTTTAATATCAGACCCTGCATTCCTGAAAATGGAGGGACTACCACTATCTACCAGGCACTGGGCCATGAGGAATGAAAGAAAAAGGAAGATGTAGTTACTGTCCTTCAGCGGCTTATAGAATCCCCCGACTCCCCACACCCTGAAGATACAGTATGGTAATTTATTCTACCCTACTCCCCCATCCAGCATTGATTGCAACTTTTCACTCAAATGGAATGTGAATTTGGACCATAAGTGCTACGCACAGGACATGCCCTCACAGTAACTCTTTTCTAATTTCTCGTATCCCCAGGTCTCTGGGGCTTGGTGAATAATGCTGGCATCTCCATGCCCTCAGTACCCAAGGAGTGGCTGACCAAGGAAGACTTTGTGAAAATACTGGATGTGAACCTGCTGGGGTAATCCAGGTGACCCTGAGCCTGCTGCCACTAGTGAGGAAAGCGAGGGGCTGCGGGTTAATGTTGCCAGTGTCCTGGACAGAGTTTCCATTTCTGGTGGAGGCTACTGCATCTCCAAGTATGGTGTAGAGGCCTTCTCGGCCTTGCTCAGATATGGAACTGGGATCGAGGCCCCTACCCAGCTCTCTTGTTTCTGTTCTGTGGGAGCTTTTTCCTGGGGGTCATTTAATCACTGCCTTAGACCCTCCTTGGAGACCTCTCCCTTGCTTTGTGCTCTCCCCCCACCCCCTCTGAATTGGGTGGCTATTCATTGGGAACTACTTTTCAATGTTCTGAATGGAAGGAAGGGCCCAGGCCCAAGGAGTTTAGTGAAACATACTCCTATGTTTCAGTATGTGTAAGGCTCACCGTTGGGAATTATCTGAGTAGAATTGTAACATGGATACTTTTACTCCTGAGTGCATGTGCATATCCATTATGATACTCACCCTCAGGGAATGATGGAGGTGGGGCTCCCATCTAACTCTATGCACTAGATATTTTTCCTTGGACAACAAGACTTGGGTCCTGACCCATAAACTCTCACAGTTGATAGCAACATAGAGATTGCAAAACACTGTTTTCATCTCTTGTAATGCTTGGGACCAAGTTAGCCCTGGAAGTTCCCAGGTGTGGGGGAGATCCTAACTCTGGGCTCTGAGCTGAGGATTGAAGGGGTCAGCCTGTCAGCCTGGCAAAGAAGGGCTTTTGGAAAGGGCTTTCTGGCTGAGGGCCTCACATCAGCAGAGGCCAAGGCTGAGAGTGAGGAAGGAGAAGGCCCACTCTGGCCTAGTAGCTAGGGAGATGAACACAGGTGGTGTTGGGTAGGGCTTTTGGATCCTGGAGAGCTACTGGTACTTCATACTGTTGGCAGTGAAAGTCCATGATGGAAGTTAGTCAGGGGAGCTACATGGTCCAATCAGCCTTTGGAGACCCCTCCAACTGTTGTGGGGAGCATGGCTTTGAGTGTGGGGAGCTAAGTCTGAGGGCAGAGAGGCACCCTTTAGAAGACCAGTGCAGGAGCTCAGTTGAGAGATGAGATGGGGTTTACTAGGACAGGAAAAAGGACAGAAGGGTGTGTAAGATATGAAATTGGCGAGGGTTAGTGGGGATTGGACGTGGGGAAACTAGGAGCACATAGCATTTCAGTGGTGTCTTGCTCCAAGGTAGATAGGATTTGGAGCTAATGAGCTTGTTGTTGTTGTTGTTGTTATGTGCCACCGAGTCAGCCCTGACTCATAGCGACCCCTCCTTGGGTTTCCGAGGCAGTATCGCTACGGAAGTAGGATTGCCCAACCTTCCTTCCGAGGAGTGGCTGATGGGTTTGAACCGCCAGCCATCTGGTGAGCAGTCAAGTGCCTTAGCCACTATGCTACCAGAGCTCCCTGCTAATGAGCTTAGAATGTAAAATTACTTTTAAAATTATTTAAACCCTATGCAGAAGCGATGTCATGGTCATTACTATTTTCCCACTGGCTGTTGCCTTTCATAGTTCCCCGAGCTTCCAGCCTATTCTGCCTCAATCCTGGGTTGTAGTTTCTTTTTATCTTTTTTCCTCCAGGGCCTCTGAACTCTTTCCCCTAGGTCTGTCTGTCTTGCAGGAAAGAGCTGTCCTACTTTGGGGGTGAAGGTGGCTGTGATAGAGCCTGGTTCATTCAAGACTGGCATAATTTTCAAGAATAAGCTTTCTCAGAGCATCCTGGAGGCATGACATTGGGCCAGCCCAGAGGTCAAGGAGACCTACAGTGAGGAGTTCCTGGCTTCCTGTAAGTGGGCTGTGGATAGTGCAGAGAGAAGCAAAACCTTGTCTAGAAGACCTGGGCCCAGCACTTCCTTCATCCGTCTCATGATCTGTCCTGCACTTTCTGCCTCTGCAGCAGAGTGGAGACATTCAGCTCCATTCCTGTAGTTCTCTATCGTCAATGGGTGACTCACAGAAAGGGACCAGGCTTACCAGAACTGGGACCACTTCTCTGAACCTACTCATTATTTTGAGGAGGAAACTAAAACTAGAGAGGGAAGACACTGGTGGACTCATAGCAAGCTGGTGTTAGAAGCAAATGTTTTTCACATGCTTAGAGTCTTAGTATTAGCAGAGACATTCATTCATGTTGTCCAGGTATTCTCAGGGTGAGATCCAGACTGATTAGTGTGGAACAACAACTCTCGGAAAGGATTGGGCTAGGAAAACCTGGTTGGAGTAAGTTGGGGGAAATGGCTTTGAGGCTATAGAAAATCTTAGGAAGTTTTCTCCCAAAGTTTGTCCCAGGATAGGAGAGGTAGGAGGTGGAGTATAACCTGGGTCCTTTCTCATTCTGGGCAGACAAAAAAGTGGTTGAAACCATGGGGACACCTTGATTTTAGCCTCGTAAGACTTGAGTCAGACATCTGACCCATAGAAATCTAAGATCATAAATTTCTGTTTTACGCCACTAAGTGTGTGATGATTTCTTACAGCAGTAACAGAAAAGTATTAGAGTAGATTTACAGGAAGATAAATGCAATCTCATCAACTATGGAGGAAGCTGTTGCAGCAAATAGGGTGCGGAAATCGTTTATGGGATGCAAGCAAAGGATGCAAGTGTCAGACACTGACACGATCCTGTGGCCCTTTACCCAATATATAGCCACCAAAGTAAAAGTGGCTGGTGACCAAATAGAAGAAGAGAGAAGGGTAGGGGGAAAAAAAAAGGAAGGTAATATTGACTCTGAAACTTGCCCTTGAACAAAGAGTAGCTAAAGTAAATGGAAGAAATGACAAGATAAAAGAACTGAACAGGAGATTTCAAAGAGCAGCTCAAGAAGACAAAATCAATTATTATAATGAAATGTGTGAAGACCTGGAGTTAGAAAACCAAAAGGGAAGAACACACTCAGCCTTTCTCAAGCTGAAAGTAATGAAGAAAAAATTTAACCCTGGAGTTGCAATACTGAAAGATTCTGTGGGCAAAATATTCAGTGATACAGGAAACATCAAAAGGTGGAAAGAGTACACAGAGCCATTGTACCGAAATGGATGTTCATCCATTTCAGGAGGTGGCATATGATCAAGAACTAATGGTATGGAAGGAACAGGTTGAGGCTGCACTGAAGGAACTGGGGAAGAGCAAGCCTCCAGGAATTGATGGAATACCCACTGAGATGTTTCAACAAATGAATGCCATGTTGGAGGCACTCACTCATCTATGTCAAGAAATCTGAAAGACAGCTTCCTGGCCAACTGACTGGAAGAGACCCATATTTGTACCCATTCCAAAGAGAGATGATACAACAGAATGTGGAAATGATCGAACAATATTATTTTTTTTTTTCTCTCTCTTTTTTTTTTTTTTTTT